CTTCTCTCTGTTCTGACAAAATATTGGATTTTAATAAGGTTTTGTTTATCTTAGAAATGCCATTTTGTTAATTGTGACACTTAGCTGTTTTGCCTTTCTTCTCATCTGTGATCATTAAGAGTTCTTCATGCACCATAAGCAGTACTGCCCTTCCACAAAAGCCTTGTAGAAGAGTAGCTGAAAGAACAAGTTGTGATTATACTTCAGGCATGTTTCCTTCTCTGTCTGGTATGATATGAAGGTTTTATTATTCTCTTTAGGACGTTCAGAACAAAATTCTGAACCAAATAAAGCCATTTTTTAAATAAAAATTAGATTTATTAAGGAAGGAGATGGAGCACTGGAGAAATGGGCTGTGTAATGGATTTAAGCTGAAATGCTGCTAAGGCTTGTCTTGATTGGTCTCCTTCATGTCACTAAAAGAAAGTGAACTACCATAAACATCCTCTGACTGAACTTACCTGTCTCCATTCTCCCTCTTACAACTATCAAATCTGTCAGAGTTTCTGGAATCAAGTGTCTTCTTTTGGGGGTGCTTTTACTGTGTATTTCCTTCTCATCCATGCATTGATGAGTGCTGCTGTAGGAGCAGTAGTCCCCGTGTTACCCCTGGAGGCTTCTGCAGGAGGCACCCAGCCTACCTCATCTGCAGCCCACTCGTGCCCCTAGGTTAGAAACACAGCCTGAAATCCTAGTGCAGGCATCAAGTCTGCCCAGAGTAGTGCTTTCTGGTGGCATTGAACTATTAAAATCTTCCTCTTCTGTATAATTTTAAGTTCTTTTCAAAGTGTTATACAAATGTCGCTCCTCATCCTTTTCCCATATCTTATTTTTGAACGAGCAGATCACTGCTCAAGTCTGTCTACCCTTTCTCCTAAATTATTGACCATGACTTTACATAGTAAATTGCACTGGCTACAAATGTTTGCTTGAACATAATTCATGACAGAGTTTAAAGAGACAGAGCTTACATATCATTTTCTCAGTTAGTAAACAACTGATGTTAATTTTGGCATTTCTCGGCTTCCGAGTGCTTAGTTTTGATAAGATGGTGTTCTTTTCAATACTTACAGTCCATTTAAATAATTTTCTTATTTAGGAAAAAAAATTTAATTACATCCTGGAAAATCCTACTGACCCTCCTTTCTCTGAAAGAACTTGACTAGTCTTGCAAGAACAGAAACCAGAGCAACAGCATCCTCTGCCACCACATCCCCCAGGTGACAGTGGCTATTGCAGGGGATGGTACACACTTCTGCCATTTCCCATGCAGGGAGAATAGTGTAGCTGGGATGAAGCACAGGGTGGCAGATGAATTCTTGGGCTGGTGGCAAGAGTTAGGAAGAAACAGAACATGCTCTGTGGAAATCTTCACTCTGCTGTGTTTAGGTCAAACAAGAAATTACCAAATTTGGGCTTCTCTTTTTTTTTATATGCACAGTGAAAAGGAAGACACCACAGACCTTGTTGTTTTGATTCTAGACCTTAGTGAAATGTTTTGCAGAAAAAAACTAAGTTAAGAAAGAGCAGAATTTTTTCAGTCTTATTCTAATGAACAGTATCAATGAATGAACAAAAAAAAATCAAGCCTTGAGCAGATGCTTGGAGTGGAAATTGTACTGAACATTGAGTTTAGCAAATGTATAAATGATTGAAAACATGCTCCTAACAATAGACTTTTTTAGGCACCTTTTTGACAACTTGGAAGTCCTAGATCAAGTCATTTAGCTTCAAAGTGATGCTTTCCCCTTTCCCTTTTCCTGTTGTTACAAATTTTCTTATTCTTTCTGATTTCAATGTTTGTTTTAGTCTCGTAAACATTTCTAAACTGTTTTCCCTCATTTGTAACCATTTCTTAGGCTTACTTAATTTTTTAAAAAGGAATTCTCTGCCTCACAAGAAGACTGAGAAGATAAGCAACTAAATATATGGAACACGTCACATAAATTTAAACTTTGATGGTTGGGGAATTGTCCTTTAAATTTCTGTCAAAATGATTGTGATGTTAGTTAAAATTGGTAAAGCTGGATCATTGCTTTCTTTAAGGCTTTACTAGCACAGTTTTCTCCTATATTGTAAGGTCATTAATGAATCATCTATAGCTAGTAATTACTGATCTCTTGAGAATATTGGTTTAATTATATAGGAATCATAAGTGGAACATACAGTTACATATTCTACAGTGTAGGTAGTAGTACCTTGGTGTATTATGGCTTTAAAGAATCTGGGGGTTTTTTTGTAGATTTTAATTGCTAAGTGTGCCTGGTAAAATATGAATTACTGTATTACCACATGTGATAAAAGGTATACTATTGTGAGTTTCACAGTCTGCAGGTGTAACAGATGTAAGGCAAGATTAACAGGACAGAACAATAATTAAAACACAGACAGCCATCTCAACAAAAAAAAGCGGGGGGGAGAGAAACAGAAAAGGTTTATCATGTGCAAGGCAATTATTAAGGGTGTCTTAAATTCTCTGCAAATACTTGTAAAAGCAATAAAAATGTGTTAGTTTGAAAGACAGCTTTTCAGTGTGGACACTTAGTTAAGGAATTAAGATCTTTCTTTATGAATATAAAAGCTGAGTGAAGTCCTGCCATATGGCAGCATGGTTCATAGGCAGTAGGGCCCTCAGTTTATAGATGCTGTGAGCTAAACATTGCTGAAAAAAATAAGAGAGCAGTTAGTATATATGCATTTACAACGGTATGAATTGCTTACTCCCTTTAAGACAGGAAGGTTCAAATAATTAACAGCAATATTATGGTTACAAAAGGAAGTCCAGTTGTTCTTCAGCAGCCTACATCTGTGAAACGTGATACCTCTGGGGAATGAGATTTAATTTTCCCAGGAGAAAATGTAAAAGCAGGAGAAAAAAAAGAATGACTTCTGCTTGAGCAGAATAAACCTGCATCTAGAAACGATTAACACTGCATAATGAAGTAGTAAAGAAGCAAAAGAGATTTCTAATAAAGGACTAATAACAAATCCCATTACACCATGGTGTATTTTTTTCTCTTGAAGTGTATTAGACTCTTAGCAAGGCTTTTGAATGAGACTTGGGTAGTTGCAAGCAAAATCAGCTCAAATCCTTCAAGCTTTGCTGCGATTTCTCACCTAACAGTTTGTAACTGGAAAGTTGTGGTTTTACAGGTGGGAGGAGTTGTTAATGCAGGTGATGGGCTTCATGCAGAGTTTGGGTAATGTTTGTGTCACCACAAGGTAATAGTCTCCTCTAGGCTGGGCACTGCAGGGTAAAGTGCCACTATGGCAAAATCCCTTAGGTAGAACAGACATGATGTTAAATGCACTCGCTAAGCCTTGCTTTTGTGTAACAGTTCTGATTTCGTTTTCTGAGGTCTCAAAATAAGTCCTTATAGGAAAGGGGTTTGATTAGAGAGGGAAATACAGTTTTTATTTTGTCGTAGCTAATACTGGGACTTCTGTAATTATGGTACTAACATAAAAAGTTACAAGACCTTAGAAAATAAATGTTCGATGTGAGAGTGAGATAATGCTGTCTTTTGAAATCATGTATTTTCACTTTTAAAAGGTTTTATTTTTTTTATCTTGCAAGGAAAAGATTCTCTGTAGTGATCTCTAAATCTGTCCATGGATATTTTTGTGGATTGTACATATGGTTCCAGTGGCATGGGGAATAAAAGTTTAGTGAACAAAACATTCACTCACAACAGTCCCTTTGAATTTCTTTTATAAGAGACTGTCTTTTTGTACAGATTGTTGCTATCTTCAAAGCTTGTGCTAGACTGGCATGATGGAATTAATTTGTCCAGTATTTTCTTTATACTGGAATCAGAAACAAAAAACAAAAAACTCCAGATGCCTTAAACCAACAATGAGTTCTGGAACAAAAGTGGTTAAACATGAATTCTTACAAGTGAAACTAATCTTGAACAAGAAATTTCTAGTTGCCGTTTTAGAAATTTTTGTGAGTTTTAAAGAATGACTTAATTTGCTTAGCAGAAATTTTGCAATCAATCTTTTCTTGCCACTGAATAAACAGATTCCACATGCGTAGCTATTTGCATATCCCAGCTAAAAATGTAATTCATTATTTTTAAGTCCATTTCGTAATAACTATTTCAGGATTAATGTTACTAACTATTCTTTAGCTCATTCAAATGTGACCTTAGATAATCCTACCTAAAAAGATATAAAGCTAGTGGGTCTGTTCTGGAATAAGGAAGTGCCTTTCCTGAGGTCAGCAAGTAAGTCAGTGTAAGAGTCAGAACTAGAAATGCTAGAAATGAGAAATCTAGAGAAACAATTTTCTTCTACTGTATCTCAAGCTTCCAGCCTTGAGCAAATATTGCATTTAATATTACACATTTTCACATTTTGCTAGGTGGCACAGAGATGAACAGGAATTAACAGTATAGTCTACATGCAGATTATCACTAAATCTGATAAAGATTTAAATTAGATTTAATGAAAATTGTGTCCATAGCATATTTTACATGGAGCTGCAAACACTGTCATCCATAACAGCAAGAAAGCCCCTTCACAGTAACTGTGACCTGGTCCATTTTAGTTGCTGTTTGGCATATGCTTCTGAACTGGCTTTCACCTGACTGGGCTTTTCAGGGCTTCTCATAAACCACTGGCTTCACCTTCCTGGTTTTGCTGTTCCAGGCCATTCTTGCATAACATTTTCTCCCGTTCATCTTAGGTCACTATCACATAAAATGCTCAAAAATGTGGTATATGGAATTGTTGTGTTTTGTACTTTGAGGGTCACCCACATAATGATATTAGTCAGTGAAGCTTCTGCAGTCTCTAATGTGTAATTTCTCTGATGTAGATGCAGTAACATTTCCACAAATACAATTAGTTAAGTTGTTATCACAGATCTTGACACTTTACAAAATTTTCTGGTAAAATATTTAGGACTGTACTTGATCCTGGGATATGTGTTCTTACTTTACCTTACTTGGTAAAATGGAGAAATACAAATCATAACTTTTCCCTTTTTTTTTCAGGCGATGGGTAAGGCTCCTGTTTGGACGTGAATTCCCTCTTCAGGATCTTCTAGTTGTCTGGGATGCTCTATTTGCTGACAGTATCACCCTGAATTTAGTTGACTACATTTTTGTAGCCATGTTGCTGTATATCAGAGATGCCTGTAAGTATCAGCTATTTTACAATTTTTTTTAAAGAATGCAAGCCTATTCTTTGAAAGAAAAAGAGACCTTAAAAATGCTAAATTTCATTGTGACTTTTTTAACATATTGAAAATCGTTCCAAATACTAGGAGAGGAGCTATTTATTATCAGGCATGGCCTGCTGTATTTATGAAACAAATTGTATCTAGGAGTTAAATGCAGGTTTGTTTTGTGAGTAGTTCTGTGTTTCTACATAGTGTTGCAGATTTTATGTGCTCTGAGTGATACAGGCAAGTATAGAGCTCCACCTTCTGACCAAGCTCATGAATTGAATAAAGTTCCCTGTGACACTTGAAATATTTTAGTGCTGTTCCCCTGTGAGAAACGAGAAAATGCACAAGACAATGACTCACAATTTTTGAAGGGTATCTTGAATAAAAGACAAAGATGAGTAGCAATTACTGAATATGTTTATTCTGTGCAAGAGTGGCATCTTGAAAAAATTATCATTTATTTTATTTCTTTTCAGTATACCTGAAATTTGTGCACAGGTGAAATCTTTAATTTAGTGATGACCAATAAAATTAACTTGGGACAAACAAAGAATCAAGAAATTTTTTTTAGCTTATATAATTGTAAATGGGAGGAGAAAGATACATAACGATAATTGAGGGATTTGTTTCTGTCTTATCAGATTCTGCAAAAAATTCTGTATGCAACTGATGCAACAAAGTATGCATTTCACAGCAAGATGTATGGCTGTCATTAAGTATATGAATTCTATAGCAAGTTATTCAGAGTTAAGTATATACCATATGTAAGCTTTAGGTTATAACAAGGTCACATATTTGACACAATTTTGTATTCTAGGACATAGGAAGTTTTCAACATCTGTGGTTCCTATTTTAGGGCCTAGTCTTGAAAATATAATGTGGTACTTTACACGTTCATGTTGTTCCACTGCCTGCCTTCATGTGTTTTTTAATTACTTTTTAATAAACATGCAGAATATAGATCTACTTTTCATTCCTCTCAAAAAACTGGACATTTAATTCTGGTCAGAGGTTTCAAAATTAATGCTGATGTTTCAGGATGATTCCAGGTCATTATGTTTTGCGGTCTTAAATCTTGCTTGCTTATATGCAGTAAACTGAAGTAATTTAATTTTTTTGGTAGAGATATGTTCTGAAGAGGCATGTAAGAAAGTTCCTTAGCATCAGTATTTTATTTGTGTCATTGCTTACCTTTAAAAAAAACAGCACATTAGAACTGTGCTTCTAAGAAGTGTCTCTCTTCTTGGGGAGGGAAAGTTGTTCTGGTTTTATTTTCTTTTGATTTGTGTTGCTGAGGTGCAAGTATCAGTATGAGTTAACTAAAATGTGAGCTAAAAATGTGTTCCAGGATTTTGTATGAAATCAGTCTCCCTCTTTTTTCTAAACTTCGCAGGCTTAGTAAATAGAGGAATAAATAACTTTGCAGTATAGTACATTTAACCAAATGAGAGGCAAAGTCATCTCATCAGGACAGCAAACACTTCATATATTGACTGTTTCTGTAATAAGTAACTTCTTGTTCAACAGCTGGACCTAGTTACTCTAAGCATAATAGCATGGAGAAGCAGAATAAGTCATGAATACTGTAAAGTCGAATCTATTTTTCCAAAGTTAAGCTCAACTCATAACAATTTCCACAGTTCTTGATTACATAAAAAAACCTTTTGTTACATATTTGTAAAAGAAAATTTTCTGGTTTTCCTCATTTTTTTATTGCTGATAATATTTGAGCTTTGAACAGAGTTCAAAGTTGTAGTAATTTTAAAAACATTTTCAAATAAAGTAAGTTTATAAAAGCTTCTCTTTATATGGTGAAAGGAAACAAGCTCAAAACATCCAATGGTGATAATCATCTTTAATTTAAATAAACCATCGGGAAATTTTTAGTTTAGAAACTTCGAAACAATAAGAACAATAATAAAGCTCCTACGATATTATGTTATAAAAATGTCAAATATAAGCAATTATAATAATACAGTACTCAAAGCATTTGAAAGTTTAGAAATGGTGCTGATTCTTATTTAACAACACTTTTGGGGATGGGTGAAAGTTACTGGTTTGAGAATTGATGAATTTTTTTCTGTGCTTATTATGATGTTCTCAAGGACATGATTTTAAGAAACTATTTCTGCTATAGTTCTCATTTTTATTTTAGTTTTGAAATTCTCTGTTGCTCAAACAATATATTAGGCAAGGAGAAGGAAATATTTAGATTATCAGATTATTGCTTTATATATTTTAGAGAATGCAGATACATAATCATGTACACAGCCATTCTGTAAACTGCTCACTTCAGTTTTACATCTGTATCCAAGCAGATCTTTGTCTGTGGAGTGATAATCCTCACATGCCAAGCCTAGGGCTGTATACCAGTATAGCTGCAAGTTTTAAAAAACTATTTCCTGTGTTTCTTTGGAAAAATTCTTGCAAAAAAATTTTTTTTTAATCTGTCAAATCAGAAGCATGAATATTTGCTTCTGTTTCACTAGTGTGAATATATGTGTAGTTGTTGATGAAGTCAGAATGGAGGGAAGGATGTGATGTAAAAATAGATGTATTTTATCTGCTTCCTTCCAAGGAGGACAACAATGAACAAACCTGGAAGACTTGTCTATGTTTTGCATAGTAAATTAATGCCATTATTGCCCGAGGAGCTAATTTTGACTGATCAGTATTAGAATAAGTGTATTTTTATCTTGTTTTCACTCGAGGAGAAGGTATGATCATTGTTAGAATTTAGTTTTTCATCTCCAAAAGCACTGTGAATATTTTGAGAGAAATAAAGGAGCTTCTTCTTAGAGGAACTGATTAGTTATTTTTGTTGCAGTGTAAGATGTTAATTTGTCTACGTTTAACTCAATTTAGGGGCTACTAAGGAGGCTGTGGCCGTGTGTAAAGCAGCAGGGGGAGTAATCCCAGTGTTCCAGGGTTATGAACTAATCTGGATACAGGATCAGTGGCATCAAATATTAAACTTCTAAGAAATTAAATGTATCAGAAAATTTGGACTTTGTTGAGGACAGTACTGTGAATTTTCATGTTTTCCACCGAATTCCTTCTGCTTGTGTCCAGGGGTGGTTATTGGATTGGTTATTGTTATTATTAACAGAGAAAGGTCAGTCTCTTCTGCAGCAGAAGGGAGAAGGTAATTCGATGTTCCTCTCAGCACTGAATTACAATATTAATAAAAGGGCAGTAAGGTTGTTTTCTCTATGGAGAGGAGTTTCTCTCCTCCTTTTCCTAGAAATACCAGTAGCATTCTTCTTTGGGGAAGTGAGAACTTGTGGTTCACAGTAGAAGTTGGATCCAGATGTGACTCTCACTAAGCCAATGAGAGAAGGAAAAGCACAGCTGAAGAACCACCAAGCATTTTTACAAGGCAGCAGGACACACCACCTACTGCTGAGAATGGATATTTGTATTTCACAGAATCTCCTTCCAGAGACTTCATCCTACAGATGATCCTTAGAAATCCATTTAACACCCATAGGCATATTCAGTTTTGGTTTACTATTGTTTATCTATAATTTTCAAGAAAACTGCCTCTCTATTGTAATGATATTACACATGTTGTCCTGAAGAGACAAAAATCATAGAATGGTTTGGGTTGGAAGGGACCTTCCAGGATTATCTAGACCAATCCCCTGGCATGGGCAGAGATATATTCCACTAGATCAGGTTGCTGAAAGCCCCATCCAACCTGACCTGGAACACTTCCAGGGCATCCACAACTTCTCTGGGCAACCTGTTCCAGTGATTCACCACCCTCACAGTAAAGAATTTCTTCCTTATGTCCAATCTAAATCTACCCTCTTTCAGTGGGGAAAACCCTGAAGATAAAAAAAAATATATATACAAAAGCTAGCACATCTTCCCTTTAAAGTGCTGATTTTTTTTAACTTTCTAGATGATAAAGATTTTTTTGTCAGGGGTCAAGTCTGCACGATTAAAATAAATTAGTTTTTTTAATATATCGTTTTCTCTATATGTGTGAGACAGCAAATAACTCTTCCAGGAAAAATAAAGAAAATATATTTTAATCCATTTTACATTGCAGAATAGAGCACGTACTTACCTGTTCAAAAGAGAAACACATTGGTGTTAGTGTCTGTCATTTATAAAACTATTTAGCATTTAATATCAATATTCGCTGTTTTTATTTGCTTTGGTAAAAAGGCATCATGATCACAAATGCATTTCTGTATCTTAAATTTTATTTGAGATAGTATGAGAGTTTGATTGGGTACGTTCTGTGTGGTGCTCGCATTGTACTCTGAAAGAACTCTGACGGAGGCCATTGTATTATGTTCATTATGCCAGCTTTGTAACTTCAAGAAGAAAAAGCAGGTACCTGAATATGAACAAGAAAAACAAAGGGTAGGAAAAAGAACAAGCAGAACAGATAAAGAATGAGTAGGATAAGTGAGTGCTTTACAAATGAAAGCAGATGTATGAAATTACAAGCTGTCGGATCAGCAACGGAAATGAAGATGATAAAGTGGTTCCTTACTCAGATTATAATTATTCATTTTGCCCAGTCCTGCATCTTTTCCCCATAATCCTCTTGTTGAGGGAGGTAAGGTGCAGGAGGATATGAGGCTTATTCACATGAAAGAAAGAAAAGTAAACCATTTAAATTTCTCTGTCCGCAAAACTGCCCTTTATTTTGCTTTTTATTGATTCAAAATAATTTTGAATTTGCAATATCCTGATTAATTAAAGGTATTTCTTACTACAGCTAAAGTTCTCAGAATAGTAAAGTTTGATATAAATTTATTTACAATTACTATTGTTGGAGGCTGTCTTTATGTTGCAGAGTGCAGGCATCATTAACTGGCATTGCTTTGACAGCTGTGGCAGATGGATTGCCTGGATTTAGATGGTGCAAAAGAAATGAAGTAGTTTACATAGACCTGCTTGAAAAGATGTCTTTAATAATTGCACTCATAATTAGATTGATTTGGGAAGGAAAGAAAAAAAAACTAGAAGATGACAACGGCAAGCAAAAAGCCATAGAGGATGCTTACATAGATTCAGATAAAATCACACAGATTAGAACAAAATTATAAAATTTAGCAAAGCATGCTGAAAATTTTCTGAATAAGTGAAAAAATCTAAGCTAGTTAATGGTGTATTGTAGTTTTTAGTATTTATGAAATTAAAATCTAGTCTTTTCCCTTTTTCCTCAATATTTTGTGAAGTTTCTGATTTAAAAGAAAACAAGGAATTGTTGAATAATTTTACATACGTATAGGTATCTGAGTGTGTGTATGTATGTAAATACGTGTTTAAGAACAACATAAAAGATATTTCAGAAAAAACTCATCAGAGTGGCACAAACTTATCATAAAGCTATAAATGCAAATTATCACATTTAAACTTAGATGTCTGTGGAGGAGTGTCTGAAAAGCCCATGTCCATTTTGCAGTATAGGACTAGTTCTTCAAGCTCTGCTGATGGTATTGCCCTGAGCTCCACGGACTGGGGCAGGCTTTAGGGGCACAGCTACAGAGGTTTGAACTGAGGCATCTGAATCTGGAGCTAACATAAATGTCTATGACAGTCATAGCTTTAGAACTCTTCTTAATTATACTGGACCAAGTGTAGTCACAAGGCTTGAGTATATGTATCTCCTTTTACACTGAGCACTGCTTGAATTCTGAGAGACTATGTGGGAAAAGACAGCTAAATCTGAACTGTAAGGAATTTACTGAAAAAAGTACTGGTTTGGAATATCAAAGACAGTAATATTTTTTTTTCTCTCTCTTTTATTTTCTTTTTTTTTTCTAGTGATTTCAAGTAATTATCAGACCTGTTTGGGACTTCTTATGCATTATCCACCTATTGGAGATGTTCACTCCCTTATCCTAAGAGCACTTTTTCTCCGAGATCCAAAGGTGAGATGCTCACTTTGTTAATACAGGAAATAAATCACAGTAATAAAATGTTCTAAATGCTGTGAATTTAGTAACAACCTACATTTTGGAAACTAAGTGGTAGTTTCAGTGTCTTGTCACCTGACAAGAGATCTGAAGGAAAGAGTTGGAAACAAAGTAGAAACAAGTTCCTTTACGCTTTAAAGGATATTTTAAAGGACACTTTGCTAAAGTGATCCAGGAGCTCTGGTATCTGCAGATGTGCTCTTTAGAATAACTTTGCTTGGTATTCTTCACAGATACCTTTTAGGATAAAATATACTTTTCGGGGAAACAGTAATGTTACTATTTAAAACCTAGTAAGCTGTATAGAAAGCATCATGCAATTTAATCTGAAGGACCTTTTTAATGGGATTTCTGGGATTAATCACTGTTAATCCTTAAAGCACTACCCTTGGCCAATATATAATGGTTATGTGATGTTTTTTGATTAAATACAAAAGTTTGATGATACAGCTTGTAGAGATTAATATATATAAAATGTATAAATTCATAAATTTCATGCCACATATTACTAGCATGCAGTTTCTCACGTACTCATGTATTTAAAAAAATAAATAAAACCTCTTCCTGTTTTAGAATGGCATGTGTGGGTATAATATACAGGAGACACTTACTGTATAGTGCATAAAGTGCTTGAGATGAAGCTGTACACAGTAATCTTTGTTTACTCACATCTCTGGCAGATAGCAGAATTTGAGCTGCTGGTTTTGAACTGTCTTTGTACATGTCCCATTAGTAGGTTGCCAGTGTAAAGTCTGATTTCCCTCATCTTCTTGATGCACAACATCTTTGAAAGCAAAAAATTCATCACTTCTGCACTCTGACTGCCTTCTGCAAAATTTCATTCAGTACCAGTGTTTACACTTTTATGGATTAAGAAAAAAATTGTCTCTTTGTTTTTCTATATCAGTTTTTTGCAGAAATCTGCATCCTTATAGCTTATAGCTGTTTTTTTTCATTGCTCTCAGGCACAAAGATTTCTTTCATGATGAGAAGTAAAGTGTATCATCTTTTCAGTGTGTAAGAAAGTTTCTAACGTTAGATCTCAGGAATCTTTCTTAAGATTTTGGCAGTAGTCTGTGAAATCAAACTGCCCAGCATTTATTTATGTACTTTCATAGCAAAACAAGATAGAAATATTTTTTAGAAGAAGTATACAAAGGGAGGAAAATTTTGCTCAGTTTTCCATCTGAATTCAATTTGTAATCTGTCATTTATTGAAGAGATATGTTAAACAATAAAGTGATTACAAATCATTCAGCTATCCTCTGAAACATGCTAGGCAGCATACAAGATATCCTGTCAGCTGAAGGGGGCAAAAAATTAACCACCAACTTCCCACAAAGAGGCTTAATCACTATTCCATTCCTTATGCTCTTGGCTTCAACAGAATGAAGTTGTCAGGCTCGTAAGGCATTGGTGTCCTATTAATTAACATTCTCAGGTGGGCCTTGAACACCTTTCAAATAAATGCTGAGTGTAGTTCTATCATGTCTCTCATGTAGTTCTTGCTTTGCTCAGGTGAATTACTACTTGAAACTCTTTGATATAAAGAGTGGTAGTTGCTTTGTAAATTTAAATATGATAAAATGCAGTTGTTTCTCATTTCTGGGCTGTACTTTTCTGCTTGGGAAATCCTCTGAAAGTTGAGAAGTTCTGATTTCCAAAGAATAAAAAGCCTAAGGGACTTGCAGCCACCTCTAGTTTTACACTGGGTTGGGTCTTTGTATTGAGGCTGTGTAAACAGATCAGGACTTCTTTCAGTAAGGAAGTAAAACTGTTCTAAAGGATTATTCTAAAACTAAAAAACAGGCTCCTGGTCTGAGAAATAAATGTATTTTCAAGACTATGACTTGAGCACCTGTTTCTTGCCTTTTCCTAGGTGTGACTTTAAGTTTGACTTAGGTGTCTGTAAGCATATGTTTGTTCAATCTCTTTTTCCCATACACCTGAAATAGAAGTCTTGGTGTTCTGTAAGACCTATGCACAAACATTTCCAAGTCTGTCAACATTTTTCATGAAAAGGAATGAAAAGGAATACTCAACAAGGCATCACGATTGCTGTAGGAGTCTAAAGTCAGTGCACAGATTATATACAAAAATAAGTGGGAAAATTATTATACTTTTTTTTTTTTTTGCTAGTTGCATAGAAATAATTCAGTTTGTCCTTATTCCCTGTGCAGATGAAAGGAGGTTGGAAAAAATGACAAAGAGATTTTAGTCTGTGGTGCAACTTGTAAGTGGTGATTAACAAATTCAGTGCTTAATTATTTTTCTTCCTTCTTTGATGTTTTCCTGTGCATTTCTCCATCATAAGCTTCTGGTTTCTAATAGGAAAGTACATTTGGTTCAGTGCAATTTTACATCTCCTTACCCAGGGCCAAGTTTTTCTGTGTGGCATTTCTTCCAAAACTTCGCTTGGGTTTTAATATGTGAAATCAGGGAACTTTTCTCTGTGAGACTGTTGCATGGTCCAGTAGCTTATTTCATTATTTGTTGAACATACCAAGAATGTTTAGTGCTGTTCCAAATAGCTGAGAGAGGCTTGCTCTCTGCTCCTTGGAGCTTTAAATCTCAGCTGGACAAAAAATGCAGTTTAGAAGGCATGGCCAGTTACAAACAGGAATCTAACTCTAGCAGGTTTGCTAATATATATGTTGTCTTCCATCTTACTTTTGCAGCTAGGAAAATACCCAGTCATCTTACAGAGGGTAGGTTGTGGGGCATTTGGACTAAGAAAGATTGGAGGAAGGTGGATAAAACTGAAAGGTTCTTAAGGAACAATCTTGTCATAAATGGTGAAGTTGTTATCAGATATTAAACCTGATACAGCTTTTCCATCTGCAACTTCCAATTTTGGAGATGACCTGGGTTTTTATATCTAACAACATCTATTATTTTTTCTTTTCCTTTGCTCTGACATAACAGGTATTTCCTTCTCACTTTTTGTCATGTAGTCTCTCAGGAGGGCTAAACTTAGGCTTGATGAACCTGTTGCGTTCTGTTTGCCTCTTTTCACTGTAGTAGTCATCACCAGGAGAGCAGCCTGAATGTCAGAAGAAAGCTGTACTTAAAAGATGGGGGGCATTTTTTTCTTAGAGATGGACAAGTACAATTTCCTGACCTTTTACGAAATCAAACCTTCCCAGAAGCCCTAGCATTATCCAGTATTAACAATAATATGAAAAGTAATTAGTACTTGCCATTAACCTAATGCTTGCAGCAGCTCTCCCGTTCACTTTGCGAACCCCAGTTGGCAGCTGAGATGAGAGAACATTTTAGATACCACATCCCTGGTATTTTTCAGTGCCACAGAAGAGAAATACACATCCCTGTAATAGCTGAAAACAAGTTAATGCACCTGTCTCTGAGGGGGGGCCTGAGAGATACTAATTTTACAGGCATGAGTATGGATCAATGCAGAATAATTGAATTTCAGCCTTTTCTGCATTTGGCTAGCTCCACTTCTTAGGAAATCGTGGAATGAAAAGCTCAAATCAGTGTTGTTGTCTTTGCATAGGGTGATAAAGTTAACCTGCTTAGCAGAGTATTTGTTTCACATTTCTAATCTTTGAACAGATAATTGCCTCAATTATTTATATTAAAGTAACTTCCGTGCACTTACAGTCCTTCTGAATATAAAAGTAGAGCTTCTTATGGAAGAATGGGCTATTAAAATTGTGTATATGTGAAATGAAAAAATAAGGGATGGTTCTTTTATGTATATCCAAAAACATTACTGAAGGTGTGTGTCTGCATATTTAATACACCATGAGTGGCTCATTTTCTTCAGTTTTTTTCCTTATCAAAACCATTGAGCACTGTTAATTTTCACAGCAAAGGCAGCAAAATTAAGAAGTAGAGATATGGAGATAGGGCATTGGAAAAATATAAAGTGATTAAAAAACATAGTTCTAACTAGAGTTGTTCAAATAAAAAACAAAATTTAAAAACCCAATTAGAAACAAAAGTCATAGAAAATGTGAACATATTGTGTTCCTTAAATAACCAGATGTTCTTTCCTTCCTGAAGGCAGCCAGGGCTAGGAATAAAAGGTTTAAAACTATTGTTTTAAGTTAACTGTGAATTTTGAAAATCTGTTTTCACCCTTTAGCAAATAAAATTCTAATACAGCAACATAAGCAAAGTAATTTTCATCTTTGGGTGTTCTTATTTGTATGTTGTTCTATGTTGAAATGTTAACCTTATCACAATGACTTATTAGAAAACTAAAGCACTACACAGAATATTACAGTTTTGCACTGCATGCTAAGAACCTGACAATTCTCCTTTGTCTGAAAGCTTACTGTATTCATTCTTAATTTTTCTCTAAAATAAGTTTGCTTTCAGATATTTTAGTATGGTGAGTTTTCCCATTCATTGAGCAAGCTATTTAGGAGCTTAATTCAGTGGAGACATCTTTTATCATAAGCTATCAATAAAATAAAAAAAAAAAAGAAAAAAAGAATATGCTTGGTTGATGGAAATTAATTTGTTACTTATGCTAATAATATAATAGCTACTGCTGCTGATATTTTCTCAATACTGTATTTTTGCTATTTGCTGACATTGAAAGTGGCTATATAATAATATTAAATTCTAGCTAAATCCACAGGGAAGCATACATGACATTTCAAAGAAGTTGTATTAGTTCATCATGACTGAAATTACAGGTACTGCCAGAAAGCTTAAACAATAAAATATGGTCATGATCACTCATATAAGGAATAGTTGGAAAAATCTGCATTCTAGCTTTTAACATTATTCGCTATCTGAGCAATGAGTGACAAGGGGAAAACACATTGCTGAAATTTTGAACCAAACTCTTTGTACATTTATTTTCAGCTGAATTTTCTTCTTAAGTAGCTGCCACCGTCTCATAGTTTTCTCCAAGCTGGTTTCATGTGCCTGAAAGGCTGTTGAGTTTCACTTTCTTCTTCTTCAGATAAATTCTTTTC